TTGCTGATGTCCGCGCCATGTGGTGACGCGCCATCCTCGCGGGGCGTGGGTCGTGAGAATGCGTCATTCACCGACGCACTGTTTCCTGCTGCGGAGAGGTGTGCGCACATGTCGTAACTGTCTTCTGGAACCTCCGCTGTAGTCTTCCGCTTGGTGGGAGCAGTGAGGTATAACTCGGACGAGTGGTGATCGAGGATGTGGTCGAGGACGCCTGGCGCCACATTCCACATGTGGATAAGGCACCTCCTGCAGGCCCATCCCGCGTTCCACTGCTGCTTGGTCCAGAAGGTGGTCATCATGTCCCACGGGGGCAGGCCTGTCAGTTCGTTGCACGGTGCCCCTGGCTCGGGGCGCCACATGAAACATCCGAGAGCGGGGCGGCCGGCTTCCCAGACAAGCAGAGGAGACCCTGGGGGGCATGTGTCGCACATGGCTGTGAACAAGCTCGTGCGGTGCGAGTCTGGCCCAAACCTGCCGTCGGACAGCCTGTGAGCTGGGAGGGTGGTGCCGACCTTTGGTGGCTGGAGCGCAGGAGGTGTGCAGTTGACGAGGTCCTTCAGGATAGAAGGGGTTGGCGCGCTGTTCGGTCGCCCGTACCCGATTGGTAGCCTGGCCAGGGGGGGAAGGGTCCGAGCTTTCTTGCGAAAGCGTGCCTCTTCCAGTCTGCGCTTGTGCTCCTGAAGGCGCTGCTGCAGGGACCTCTTAGTGCCACCGTCCATGTGGATGGGGATGGGAACCTCGACCCCTCTCTTTTCCAGGGACTTGACCCAGCACAGTTCGCAAAGCCACCTGCAAGTCAGTCCCTGCGTGTAGGCCTGGGCGCGGTTCTGAGCCAGCAGTTCTCTCGTGTCGTCGTCTTTCCAGGTGCCGGCTGTGCTTTGCATCCCTGCGTTGGTGCACTCGTCGCTGTTGTAGCTGGCGTCTGCTTGCTTCTTGCGGAACTTGTCGTCGCACACGGAGGGAGGGATGAGTACTGTGCCGGGGGCTGGGGAAGCGGGAAGGTCCTCGTCTAGGCGACGGTTGGACATGGCGATTCCGCCTCCGATATACTGCACGTCTGCCATGGTGTGTGGGCAGCCAAGTCCCTCGTCTGTACCGGCAAGCTCCCTGTGCAACTTGCATATGGAGCAGCCTCCCTGGCTCAGAGGACTGATCCAGCTGGTGGGGATACGCGAGACGCCAATTATTTTCCATGTGTTCGGGAGACGCTTTTCGCCGCCCTCCCCCACCCGAAACGTTTCCTGAAAGATCCGGGCTGGAATCACAACCGCGGATCAAAGACAATCCCAACCGCGCGATGTTGCCAAAAACGGCTTCAGGCACCCGCGCCCCATCGTCCGATGGATTCAAATACCCAAGGTGTGAGAGGAGAAACGCTCCAACAAGGAAACACAGCGCTTTACAGCAATGCGAACACCTCAAGGTGCTTGCTGAATGCCAATTGCCATCGCACGACCCAGACATCGGGCGTCTCGATCTTCTCGAGACACGGTCCCCCCCCCCCCCGGGCAGGGGACCCGAGAGGCCGAAAACTACAAAACACCGTTGTCTCATTTTTTGTTCGAGAAGCCGGATGCCTGTGGGGAAACCAAAAGGCACCGATACCCCGACTCCCCGGACCTCTCCTGGAGTGCTCTCTGACCAGAATTAGGTCGGGCGTGTCCCACTACAGGGGGATTTTGAACCACAAGTTAGACAGAGTCAGAAAATACTCCAAAAATGCTCAGCAAGAGTCAAAACATCGTCCCCGAGCTATGTCTTGAATATTTTTGCATACTCCTCCCGTAGACGGACAGGCCCGACTTACCCCTACTCCCGGACCTCTCCTGGAGTGCTCTCTGACCAGAACGGAGAGGCGCATCAAGGGGGCCACATGCGAACCCTCCCCCTCAGAAATCGTGGGGGGTAGGGGTAGGGTTCGCATGTGGCCCCCTAGCAGCCAGCGCGGGCGACGCGGGCCTCCCCCGCGGCCGAAGAGGGGCCCCCACGGGCACCGAGGAGCTGGGTCGCGGCGGCCGCCCTGCCTCTCCCGAGCGGGCACTCGCGGCCCACGGCGCGCTGGGCCTGCGCGGGAATCTACGCTCAGCCAGTTCAAGAAGGACGCACAACGAGGACGCCAGGACGTTGTCTTGGACGCCCGAAAATGGGTACGGAGAAAATGGGCACAGTGCCCAACAGCAAAGGTTGTCCCACACCAACAGCGGCCGCTGTTGGGCAGGGGGCCTTTCTGCCTCAAGTGGACACGGGCAACGGCGGCGCGGACAGCGAGCCCTGTTCAAAATGAACAGGGACTGTTGTTGGGCATCGTACCCATTCTTTCCGTACCCATTTCGTTCGTGCCGAGTTGTGCCCATTGTTTCCGTACCTACGCCGATCTTGAGCAGAGACCGACCGACCCAGCAGTCCTGAGGTCCACCTCGAAATGGCTTCAGAACCCTGTTGGGCCTTGCACCCCTTCTTTCCGCACCCACTGCGTTCGTGCTGACACGCGGCCAGCGCTTGCCCCCGGGGGGGGGGGGGCCTGCCCCGGGGGGCCTGCCCGTGGGCCTCTGCAGGCGGCCCGTAGCAGATCGGCGGCCAGCGAAGGGGGGGGGGGGAAGCGAGAGGGAGGAGACCTTCTCAGAACGGAGCGGAGGCCAGTCCACGAGAGACCTTCCACAGGACACCCATCCCTGAGACCCCAAGACGTCCATGGATGTCTGGCGTGACAGCGTCGCGCTGTCCAATGAAAAGACATCGAAACCCAAGGCACCCTGGAGGCAAGCAGGGCGTTTCTTGGCATGGGTCCCCACTGTAGACGAGCGCGTCCCACGATTCGCAAAAAAGGTAATTACAAGGAAAATGGCCTGGATTCGCCGCGGGGGATTTTACGATCCACCACATCGAGGCAAACGTGTATGTTTCAGACGTTTGCGAGTAGGCACTTTGCGAGTAGTGGAACGCGCTCGGTGACAGAAGGCGGCGGGAATTCTCAGAAACCCTCTCGCCGTCTAAAAGGTTTTCGGTGTCTCCGAGGAAGGCTTCGAAGACTTCTCAGAAGGACGGGGGACTTCCGGGCCTTGTGAGAAGGCCCGCCCCTTCTCAGTTCCCTCCTCGCTAGCCGCCGAGTAAGATGAGGACGCGCGATAAGGATGCAAGGGCCTTGGAAGGCCATGTCGGCACTTTGCGAGCGGGGCGCGGCCGTCGAAAGCGGCCAAGGATGGGCCGAAGGGGACGTATGCAAGGGTAACCTTGGGAAACTGCTCATCCTTACTATGCGGGTTGCCTGTACCCATCGTTGGGAAGAGGCGAACAGAAGCACGACATCAGAGGACGTTCAAGGCAAATTGGGTTTCTGCCCGCCCTCCAGAGATCAAAAAGAACGGAAAGTCACTCGGTGATTCAGGAAGAACGGCGCCTACAATGAACGGGAAATCCTCAAACATACAAACTTCCAACAACCGACGTGTACGCACCCGCGCGCCCAGGCTGTCTGCAAATCGTTCTCGTCTTGCACCGTCGCGCATCCTAAATCTAAAAGAAGGTTGCGGGGACCGCCGTGACACTCGGAATACTCCAAATCCCTGAAAACGCGCGGACCCCCCCTCAAAAACCGGCCCCCCCTTCAAATGCGACCCAATATTCTGGACCCCACTCTTCGACGGGGCGCCTGAATAAACTGGACCCCCTAAGCTCCAATCCAAAGAAAGCGCCCTAATAAGCCAGACCCACCCAGCTACACAAAAGGCGCCTTGAAAAACCGGACCCGGGGGACGATTACTGAAGGATTTGGAGCACTACCCTGGCCCCTGTTCGTGCTCGCCCTCAACAAATACGATCTTCTTGCTGACACAAGGGGCGCAGAATCAGGAACGAAGGGGCGTTCCTGGCCACGGCAAGCCTCGGCCGCGAGCAGACCCCCCGGCCTACATCGACGAAGCGGCATGAAAACAAGAGCCCGTGCTGAGCCCCAAATTGTCCTTGTTTCGGCGTCCTGGTTGTATCCGCACTCCCCTCACTGTTGGTATTCTATCGGCACGTAAGGGGGGGGGGGGGGCTTGCTCTACCCAAGAAGCAATACACGGCCGCATCAACACGTGTCTTTCATCATGAACGTTTTGTCGCTGACGTTGCAAGATACGCGGCATGAGTTGGCAAGAGCGCGCAGGGCGCGCGAAATGACGAAATGCCACCATCGCCCAAACGCCGCGCACCCTTGGCAAAAATACTGCGCTCGTGCCGCGCAACGTTCTTGGAAATTGTTCTCCCGCTTGGGCAGGCACATGTTTCTCCCTACACGTTGCGCCACACACCCAGCGGGCTACACCACATCGAAATTTCTGTTGTCTAAACTCCAATAGCTGCGCCCCAGATAGCGCCACAGGTTGCGCCAGACACCCCGTGGGTAACTACCACATTGCGACTTCCCCAGTCTGTCTACATGTCATAAAAAAGCGCCGTATATGACTGCATAGATTGCGGTACGTATCCCGAGGTCGTCCAAATCGTCGCTTCTGCCAACAGGCCGGCTCGCACGCCTTAGAGCGCGAATCATCCAAAGACATTGCGTACTCTCGTGACCTCGGGAGATACATTTGTCCTGCACCAAGTCGTCGGAGGCAGGGCCGCGCGAGAGCAAATGCGGTCTATTCGCCAGGTAGCAGCAGATTCCAGTCCCCGCTTCCAGTTCTGCCGGCATCAGTTGTTACGGTTGGCGTTGGAACGAGAGCGTTCGACATCGATATCCGAAAAACCGCGCTCTCCCTGTGAGGCAACCGCCCCTCGAGGGCCCCTTCTATGCACGCCATCCCCCTGCCAGGGCTTCTTCGGTGCACGGTACCCTCACGGCGGCGGATGGCGTGCAAGAAACGGGCCAAACGGCGCCACATCGCACGCTATCATTCCAACGCCGGCCGTACCCATACTCGCCACCCCTCCTCCCTCCTGCCCCGCCCCACCCTCATCCACCGACACAGGAATAGCCAGACCTCTCCTCCCATTGCCAGAGAGTGCCAGGCGACCGTGGTGGCCGCGGGGCTGTCCATGTTGAGCACCTGGCTTGCGGCGGTGCGCGCTGATTCGCGGCTCGCTTCCTCCGTCCCTCCGTCACAGCCCCTGGCAACATCTGTGGGTTTCTGCACAGCCGCCGCAGCAAGCACCTGCTTGGGGCAGGTGGCAAGGCGTGGCATTTTTTTGTTTCCCCCCACCTGACCTGAGAGCCACACGACGAGCTCCAGAAGGGAGCTGTGGGGGACTGGTGTCGAAACTGCGCCAGTTCATAGCGAAGTGGAAACACCTCTGTGCGGGTCGTGCCCGAGGTGGGATTCAAAAACTGGGATGTGCTTGCTCCATCCAGAGGCGTCGCGCGGCGTAGGTCCTGTGGTTCAAACGATCCCACGTTCCACCTGAATTACTGTGGCTGGTATACATCAGCAGCGAGGCTGCCGTAATTGCCGTTGCCGCTGCGATTTTTCCGTTGTGCTGCCGCCTGGTGCATTGGGACGTGAAAAAAGCGGTGTAGCTCTCGACCGCGTTGGCTTCTCAGCTCATTCCGAGCAGGCGGGAGAGTCACAAGCAAAGATCGGGGAGGAGTCCGAGGGGAAGACTTCCAGAAGCCTCGACCCCCGCCTTTCATCCAGGGCCGGCCCCGATGGGCTGCAGCGCCCCCTCCTCCTCCTTATCCCTCCTCCTCCTCCTCCTTCTCCTCCTCCTGTCCTTCTCCTTATAGATAACTTCTCCCTGTCGCATTCCGAAGCCAGTTTTTAGGGCGGGCCGGGCGTGTCGCCTGAGACTTCCTCACCAATTATGACTCTGAAGCTTAAATATTGGCAATAGTTTGACAGATAGAGGGCGGGTCGTTTGCAAAATGTGGCTCTCGCCTTTGCGCCGCGCACATTCCTTGTAAGCATTGCAAGAGCTTCACGGATTGAGAACGAGTTGTTTTCCAAATAAGGCTCTCGCCTTAGCGCCGCGCACATTCTTCGTAAACATGTGCAAGGGTTTCGCGGACTGAGGACGGTTCCTTGATTCACGGATTGAGGGCGGCTTTCCTTTTCAGATTTTGTCTATCGCCTTCGCGCCGCGCACATTCGTTTTAAATATTCGCAGAAATTTCTCGGATTCCCAGGATCAACGTACCAGAAATGGCGTTTCGGAAGGATTCAGACTTATGAGGGTGCACAAATCATGTTGATTCGCGGTGTTCGTCCCAGAAATGGCTTTCTGTCACGATTCAGGACCGTCAAGACGCAACAGTCAGATTGATACGTGGCGTTGGAACCCCGAGAACACTATTTTGTCATGCTTCAGGGTCCTCAAACAGTTGTCTTCCAAACAGACAGTTCCCTAAGTAAAAATGAACCGGTGTAGGGGCCAATGAGAAGGGAGCTTGGAGAGAGGGTTGATCCCAACATCGTTGCTGCCTCTTGGGTATACACTGGTCCTCCTCCGCCCTCTCCTCCTCCTCCTCCTCCTCCTCCTCCTCCTCCTCCTCCTCCTCCTCCTCCTCCTCCTCCTCCTCTCGTTGCCGCCGTCGTCGTTGTCCTCGTCTTCACGTCCTCGTCCTCCTTGCTGACGTCGTCCTCGCGGTCGTCCTCGTCGTCGTCCTTGGCTGTCGTCGTCGTCGTCCTCCAATGTTGCAATGCTTCTACGCCGCATCGACTTACCTAGGAGGAGCCAATGTTCGATCCGGGACCGATGCGTCCGCTGGCTCACATGGGGAACCCAGGAGGTACCGATACCGCTACTCCCCGGACCTCTCCCGTGGTGCGCTCTGACCAGACTTTCGAGGCGAATCCAGCGGTGGAGACGACAAAGGCCCAGGAGGCCCGAAAAGGGGAGCACGACGGGAAGGTAGAGGTATGGGAACCCTTTCTCGGCGGTGGACAAGCCTCGCTTCAGTAAACCTCCCCTTAGTGAAAACGGCCTGGGGCCGAAACCGACGGACCTGGACCCGTAAAAACAGGACGGCCGCGACGCCCTCTCGCGAACCGAAAACGGCCAATTCCTGAATCGACGCGTCAGGGTAAGAATGACGGGGCCCCAGGACACACAAATAAATACACACAAATGAAAATATTCCCAATATTTTCCCATGTTTTCTGGGGGTTTGTCTTGCCCCCCACCTCCCATATTTTCCCATATTTTCTGGGGAGTCGACGATTAATCGTGTCTGTGTTTTTTCCCCTCCCGAAAGAGGTCCCCCCCGACGCCGCACGGCTGGCGCGCCGCCTCCTCCGCCTCGAGGGCCTCGGACCCCGCGCCCGGCTCCCGTGACAGCGGTCTGGCCGCCGCGGGCTCGTGGACCGGGTCACAGGGGGAGAGGTTACAGCCAACCCGTATCACCTCCTCCTCCTCCCCCTCCCCCTCCTCCTCCTCCTCCTCCTCCTCCTCCTCCTCCTCCTCCTCCCCATCCTCATCCTCATCCTCATCCTCCTTTTCCTCCGCTCGGGCATGTCCCTCTACAAGGGGATTTTGAACGAAAACTTAAATACCCCGAGAACACTCCAGACGTAGCCAAAAAATGCTACAAGACATCGTCCCCAGACTATTTTTTGAATATTTTTGGAGATTCCCCCTGTAGAGGGACAGGCACGACTTGAGGGCACAGCCAAACAGCATCATAAGAACGCACGATGAGGATGCAATGGCCCTGGAAGCCCGTTCCGAAGCTGTCCGAGCGGGGCGCGGCCAGCGAACGTGGCTAAGAATGGACCGCGGAGGCACGGATGCGAGTGAGCATCGTTTCACCGATCCTCATCCTCAGCGGCGTGGCCTGGGCCCCTCTAGCCGATTTACCCCTGCAGATGGGGACATAGGTCGTTCCCCTCGGGTTTCGAGGGGTGTATCCCCACCTGGGGTGGTAATTTGGTGGGGGTCTCGAAGGGGATGGGGATGGGGATTGGTTAAACGATACCGAGCGAGGGCACCCCTGGAAGAGTTGCCCATCCTTCCTATGCGGGCTGACTGTGTGCAGCACAGCCGGGCCAACGCATCGGCTCACGCAGCCGCGCTCCCCGCGCCTCCTGGCGCCGGGAGGCGCCAGGGTGTCGAGGAAGGCGCCCCGCGGGGCCGAAACCAGCTGCATGCAGCAGATTTCGTGCCGCCCCCCCCCCCCCCCCCAGCCCCCCGTTCCCACTCCCTCCCCTTAGCTGCGGCAGCGCCCGCACATCAGCAGGAAGGAGACGGCACGAGTAGTCCAGAGGTGGCGATGGGGAGGATCCAATCGAGTCGCCTCCAGCTTGCGCGCATGTTTCTCTGTCTTTCTTGTGACGCCCAAGCCCCACTGCGTCCCAAAGCTGAAGCTTGACCGCAATCGTAGTAAAGGCGAGGGGCTTCGCGCGATGACATCAATGACGTCGATGTAGAGGAACAACAGACAGCGACATAAACATCAGCTTTCGAAGAACCGCACGGATTTCTTGACTCGGCGCTGGGCCTGGGCCCCCCCTCCCTGGCGCGCGGAACGCGCCAGGAGCAGCGCCAGAGGCGCCGACGCGGGGATCCAGCGCCGATCCGAGCATTCCGCGCGGATCTCCGACAGTTTCTGCTCCTGCAGAGTTCTCTTCTTCAGTGATGGGGGGGTCACCTCGACGTCGATGACGTTGACGTCAATGAGGTCGATGACGTCAACGACGTCGGCCCACGCGTGGTCATTGGTGGACCACGGTGAAGCGCTAGTGTTAGGTCGGGCATGTCCCCCTACAGGCCGATTTCGGATAACAAATGAAAAATAATCAAAAATGCACCAGAATTGTCATACATTGCATGAATCATCGTCCCCATGCTATTTTTGACTATTTTTGAATATTCCCCCTGTCGAGGGACACGCCCGACGTAACGCTAGTGAAAAGGTTAGCGCTAGTGTTATGTTGCTCCCATCGCACTTAAAGACCACATCCCAGAACAAAAATTCGAGCACCCGGAAAAGTGTCGAAAGAGTGTCGAAAGAGGGTCGAAACAGTGTCGGACGAGTGCCTCCCAGGGCGCGACGCGTGAAAACCCTCGAGCTTCGGTTCTTCTCTGGTGCTCGAAATTCTGGCGATCAAGGCTAAAGTAGGTTGGAACATCATAACGCGGGTGTCGGGGATGGACATACCCTCCTTTAGTAAAACGTGGTTAAGTGAAAACGACCTGAGGCCCAAACCTTGCGGGCGCAAGCCTGGAAAAAAACTGCCACGGCGCCCTCTCGAGAACCGAAAACGGACAATTCACTAATCGACGTGTCACTGTTGGGGGTTTTGTCCACCCCCGAGAGTGGACAGGGTCGCAGAACTTCGCGCCTCGCGCCCCCCGAGGCGCGGCGCGCGGCCGACTTTCCGCGCCCCTGCGCGCGTCGAGGGCCGCGAGGCGCAACACGCACGCCACCACCTCCGCGCCCCCTGCGGGTAAGATGGACGAAGGAGGAGGAGTAGGAGGAGGAGGAGGAGGAGGAGGAGGGGGAGAAAGAGGAAGGGGAGGAGGAGGGGGATGAGGAGGAGGAGGAGGAGGAGGAGGGGGAGGAGGGGGAGGAGGAGGAGGAGGAAGAGGGGCGGAGGAGGAGGAGGAGGAGGAGGAGGAGGAGGAGGAGGAGGAGGAGGAGGAGGGGGAGGAGGACCCGACTCGCTCCGACCCTGGGGGGGTCGGGAGGGAGCGCGAGAGGGCGCCCCGCCCCGGCGCAAAGCGGCCCCGTCCAGCCGGTCCCGCTCGGCCTCCAGCCGCGCGAGCCGCTCCCCCTGGTGCGCGTTTTCTCATCCGGCGTTTCGACATTGGGCGAAAAGGGGGGGGAGGGAAGGGGGCTGGCTCCGGACCTCTGCTTCGTGCGGCTGTTTGGAACGGTGCGTCCTGTGGGGGAGGCTCCACCCGCTCGAGACATGCGCCAAAATGAACCTAGATCTACTCCGGGGGGGGTCGCGAGGGCCCGCGCCGATCGGCAAAACAATAAATAAAAAACGATCACAAGGGCTACAGTGTCTATCTAGTGCGACTGGTAGATGCCTCTCTCACATCCTCCTCCTCCTCCTCTGTCTCTGCTCCGCTGCGCCGCGGTTCCCGCGTTGCCGGGCGCGACTGCTTTTGCGTCTGCTTTCCTGCCCACGTCGCCCGACGGCGTGTGGCTTGTTTTTAAAAAGAACCCATCAACCCTACAACTACACATGCAAAGGCCTGAGCAACCGTACTTGTGCAACGCGTCCGCTGCCGCAAGAACAGCAGGGAGGTACGCGCACTCAACGCCTGTACTCGGCCACCGGGATCGTCTCCACCAGGTCCACCCGCCGCTCCTCGCAGTAGTACCAAATGGCCATGTGGCTCGCGATGAGGCAGAGCCCAGACACGACCTCGCCAAAATATGATCCGATCTTGAAGAAGAGTATCCATCCAGAAGCGGTGTTCACCAATTGGACTCTCTCGTAACCCTCCTTGGGGGCCCACTCGTCAAAGCAGCACAGGCCCAGGTCTGGGATCAAGAGGGCCTGGAAAGCGATGAAGCAGCAGAAACCGTGCAGCACGCCAGTCAAGAGCAAGCACCGCACCCACCACTCCCGTGGCTTGATGCGGAGTGGTGTGCGAGAATCCTTCCAGACTCCCCATGCCAGTGCCCTTCCTTCGAGGAAGATGTAACCTATGAACATCATCATGGCACCCATACAGTGGACGAGCACGGTGACCTGGTCCGCGAGATCAGCCTGAGCGGCAGGAGTCGTCGGAACGCACGCAACGAGCATCATTCCGATGGGCGGCAGGAACTGCCTGCAGGTCACCCACGACAGACCAAACGGAGTCTTCAGATCATCGCCGATGTAGACGTTTCGCAGCTCAAAGGGGTACCAAGACAGGAAGATGCAAATCGACCCGATGATGATGGGTCTATTTCCCACCACCACCACCACCACCACCACCATCAGTTGCAGGGGGAGGGAATCCTCCTCCTGCTCCTCCTCCTCCTGCTCATCCTCCTCGTCCTCCTCCTCCTTCTCCTCCTCCTCCTCCTCATCCTCCACCTCCTCCCCCCCTCAAACTCATGGTGGTGGTGGTGGTGGAAAACAGGCCCATCAGATGAGCTCGAACGCAAAGAAACACTTTCCAGCTGGAGACCTCGGGTCGTGAACCATCTCGCTTACCGTTGGCGGGAAGGGGCCGTTCCCGGACGCAAACACGGTGGTCCCTTCGAAATCCGCCGGTGCGCACCCCCCCCTGGCGCGTTGAGGAGTAGTAGAATGCCGAGTGCTGTCTAACAAAGCTTCTGTAGAGGAGAAGGAGGAGGAGCAGGAGGAGGAGGAGGAGGAGGAGCAGGAGCAGGAGGACGGAGGAGGAGAGAGGAGAGCGGAGCGGGAGGACGGCAGACGCCGAGTACGCCAAGCTCGTTCAAGGACTGGCTGGCACGGCTGCAAAGAACGACGGCGTCGAGTCTGGGGAGGTTAGGTCGGGCATGTGCCCCCACAAGCGAATTTTGGATAGAAAAGTCAAAAATAGTGAAACAATATTGAAACATAGCCGAATAAAGATTTAAAACATCGTCTCCAGACGATTGTCTGACTATGTTTGAATATTTCTCCTCTAGAGGTACAAGCCCGACTTAAACCTAAGCGTGCAAGTCAAGAAGAGCTCCTTGGAGGATATTGTGGACTGGAAGCGGGATGTCTCCAATCTCATCGGCTCTGAGGGTTTCTTCAAACTCAGTGATGAGTTGGAACTCTCGGAAAATGATGTCCGCGAACTTGAGTCGTGGAAAGCAGCGTCGGCAGCAGATACAGACGGCCACCAAGGGGATTTGCCGGAACGCAATGGAGAAGGTCGAGAGCATCAAAGCCGAGCGCGCTGAGCATGTCAAGAGGTTGGCGAGGAAGAGGGTCCGCATACAGGAGCCTCGTCCACCTGATGGAGCAGCAGCAGGCAAACCTGACGGAGCCGCTGTTGCAGTCGACTAGATACCTGATTGTGAGCGCAGCAACCCTTTCCTACCTAGTCAAGGAGCGGCAGGGTCAGGAGGCGCAGTTCAAGTTGACGGAGGAGACGACAGTCCGCCGCGGCCCGGATGCTTGGTGGACCATAAGGGACTGAACCCATCGGTGTGCCAAGCATAAGGTCAAGTTTGCGACGGACGTCAGGACACGTACACCGAGAGCCCCTGGAGGAAGGAGGAGGCGGCCCTGCGCAATCCTCGGCAGCCAGAGGGTCCCTTGCAAGGTCCGACTGCATCCCCCCCCGCGGGTCGCGACGGAGCTCGACGGCCAGGGGTTCGAGGATACCCGCGGGCGGGGGGGCATTGCCACGCACATAGATGGGAGCATGTACAGGGCAGATTTTAATACATGGGATGTTTGAAAATTTAGGATTTTAATAAATGATTAATGTATGAATGAATTGATGCATAAACTCATCCTTCTATTTATTACTCAACCCCTTATTCTTAATACATGGTCCGCACGCGGAGCATGTATGAAAAACGGCACTGTACAGATTCGGACATGCGGACGACCCCGACGGCATGGAGGGCGACGCTGGCCGACGCCTCTGCACTCACCTCGCCTGCGACTGCCCTCACTGCTGGGCATCAGGCCCCCTGTTGCGCTCACCCCTGGAGAGGCTTGCGCCTCCTCGACGACGGGGCAGGGCGGACTTGGCGGTGTACCTCCTCTCTCGGATTGGCCCAGGAGGCAGGGCTGAGGAATGCGGAGGTGCACTTCGGTAGGATCGCTGAGCCTGCACAGTCGATGCTAGTTTATATAAACAACATCAACAACAGCAGCATCAACAACAGCAACAACACAATTAACGACATCAACACCAACACAACAACCTCACCACCACCAACAACACCACTCACAACAACAACGACAACATCAACAACATCAACAACAACAGCAACAACAACAACAACAATAACAACAACAACGACGACACCAACAACACAAACACCACCAACAACAACAACAACAACAACAACTACAACAGCAACAACAACAGCAACATCAACATCAGCAGCAGCACCATCGGCAGCAACAACAACATCCCCACCACCACTAACAACAACAACATAATCAACAACAACATCAACATCAACACCAACAACACTCATTTAAAGACTGTTCGCTCTTATCCGCTCGAGTGCCAATCAACGCGTATTTCCCTAATCCTCGATGCCCGCCCTCTTCGTCTTCGATCGTACCCCTTTGGGAGGTAGATCTTTCTTCCCTGCAGGCCGGGCCCCGGCAAGCGGCGGGGCGGCCGCTGACCGTCGGCCTGGCCAGCGGCAGCGCTGATCGGCGGCAACCAGGCCTCAAGAGGAACGGACAGGGGACCGACCACGACGACGACGACGAACACGACGACGAGCGAAAGCGAGAGCGAGAGCGACAACGACAGCGGGGTCACGAAGGGCACAAACGGGTGGAAGGGGGAGGAAGAATAATGGAGCACGAGAGACATTAGCAGCAGAGGGGGCAAGGAGCAGGAAACAAGTGGTAGAACCAGAGGCTGATCGGGCGGGTAGACCCATAGCAGGCAGGTCGGGATGGCGGGCCCAAGCGACCAGGTCGAGCAGGCGGATTGCTGAAGAGGGGGTCCTGCATGAATCGCGAGAAGTCTCGATCGATGGCGCGATTCCCAAGTAAATCCTGAGAAACGCCAAAGCGAGAGCGTGATTCCTGAGCGCCGAGGGCGCATCGTCTGAATAAACAGTGAGGATGTCCCACGCGAGAGCGCGATTCGTATACAAATTGTGAGGGAGTCCCGCGCGAGACCGCGATTTGAAAATTAATTATGACGTATCCGGCGGGAGCCGCTGTCGTAGTTGTAAACCTGGGGCCAACAACGCAATTTGAGCCCCGCGACTTTCCCTGGAAAGTATAAAATGCGAGCCCCCGGGCAAGCACTTCGAAAAGACAATGGTCACCTGAAGGGGGGGATCAACAACACATTCAAGACTTTTTCTGCAATCGATGGGGGTTCAACGCCAAACAAGACTGCGAGTTGGGGACCCGGGGCCACCTGGGGCAGCCATTTCGACGCCTCGGACGCCCTCGTTGCCGGGTGCGGGGCGCGGCTCCAGACTCGTTTCCTTTCTCGCGGGGCAAGCCAGGGCTGACGAGGCCAAGTCTGCGGCCTCGGGCAGCGGCGAGCCCGAGGCAGACCTTGACTTTATTACACGCCGACCGGAAGAAGTAGGTAAGAACGTGAAGCAGGAAGGCGGATTAAGTTGACTGGGTCCAGGCCCCCCCAGAGAATAACAAAACACAGCAAAAGCGTGTCGACTCTTGACGTAGGAAGGCGCTTGAAGTAGATTGGGATCTGGGAATCCAAAAATACCTACTTTCAGCGACCGGCGTGTGTGCGTGTGGTGACGCGCCTTCGCCTGCATTCTCCGTCACGTTCCAATCCGATGCCCCCTCTGAGCCCCGTGCAGCGAAGGAGGAGGAGGGCAAACGAAGATCGCTTCGGCTTGAGACGTGCAATTGCACCTCGCTCGTGTCCCTTTAAGCGATATCTGGAAGCCGAGACCAGTTTGTCCATCGTCTGCGCACAAGAGCTGACGCTCGCGCAGTCCGAGAGGGCGGAAGTGCAAGCCGCGCTCAAGGGCATCGGGTGGTTGGCTTGCCTGGACCCGTCCATCGCGACGGACGCAGGAGGACTGTCATGTGGGGTTGGAATCGCTGTGCGCAAGCACATCGGGGTCGGAGGCGGTCCTGTCGTTGGTCGCCCCCTCCCCGCCCCCCACCCTTACCTAGGGAATTGCAGTCGCCCCTGGGGGGGTTATCTTGGGTGGTTTCTAATTTCCCCAGGGCGGCCCCTTGGGAGAGGATGGGGGCCACCTGCTTTTCGTCTCGGCGAAGTCTTCCATGGGCTCGGCTTCCCCTGCATCATGGGGGGGGGGGGCTGGAATTGCGAGCCAGGTGCCCGTCGTGAGCCGGGATGGGTTGAGAAGCTTGGGGGGCAGATTATGGCACCTACGGTTTCCACTTGTCGCTCGTCGGCTAGGCGATGGAAGACCATCGACTAACTTGCGCGCACGGCCGCGCCGGCGCCTGCCCTGACCAATGCGGGCCCAAACTTTGCTGCCACCACCGGCCCCCACTGGCGAATCTGACGACCTACCAAACCACCTCAACCCAACCCGAAGACCCGAATTTCGGGTTGGGGGGGCGCGGTTTCCATGTTTGTTTTTTTTCAATGTTCCCTGATCCCCCCCCCCCCCCACTGGAAGAGGAAGGCACATTGAGGCCTTCGGGTCGGGTTGGGGTGGTTTGGTGGGCGGTGGCGATCGGAGCAACGCTCCAAGGCAAGCCATCCCCGTCTCGACAAATGGCGGGTGCCCCCCCGCCCCGGGGAGGTCCCGCTTGGCCCCATCGAGCCCCGCCCGAGCATGACGAGGTCCTCCAGAGGGCGAAGCAGGGGGTCCGAACAAGAGTTAGATGCGTGCGTCAGCCAGCTTCTGGGAAGTTTGAAGAAGAGCTCGGGGGGATCTACCAGGTCCACGACGCTCGCGACTTCGGCCGAGGGAAGCAACAGCGACTCAGGCAGGCCCCTTCCCTCAGGACCTCGGGGGGATGCGCGCCTTCTCGGGCGCCCTCTCTCTTTCTCTTTTTTTTTTTTGTTTTTTCTCTCTCTCTCTCTCTCTCTCTCTCTCTCTCTCTCTCTCTCTCTCTCTCTCTTTCTCTCCCTCTCTCTCTCTCTCTATCTTTTTTGATGTTTCTTTTTTGTTATGTCTCTCTCTCTCTCTCTCTCTCTCTCTCTCTCTCTCTCTCTCTCTCTCTCTCTCTCGGGGCCGCCGGGAGGTGAGCGCCCTTCTGCGCGAGTTGGCTCGCCTCAGGGCCAAGAAAGAGACCTGGGGCATGCCTGGGTCGCGCAGGATTGTGGATCAAGTCTTCCGAGGCCCCAGCGGCCTTATAAGACCGACGCGGACTGGCTGGGCCGGAAGCCGCTGCTCGCTCACGGCTTGCTTGCCCGCTCGGTTCAGGACCTCGCTCCTCCCCCGGGCGAGGCCAATCGCATGGCCGAGAAGTTGGAACCGCAGTCTAGATCGGTCCGAGGAGAGCGCCGGCGCGAGTGGGCCAGAGACGCGGCTGGCAATGGAGGATGGGGCGGCCCGCAAGCACACCGAGGCCCCGATTGG